AATTCTTGTTCTTTTGTTCTCTTTCTGAAGTAAGTCATCATTATCTATTTTATGTCCATAGTCCTGGATTGGGAATTATTCTGAAACTACAACTTTTTATGCATGTATTCTATGTAGTGTTATTATTCTCCTTCTGAAATAACTTTCTTGTTCTATAAACCTAATTGTATAGTTTTACATTAAATTTCTAATTTGCCTGGTCATTCAGATTGTTATCAGTGCAGCTTATATTTAGATGCACAGCGAGCTGAAGACAATTCCAGGCTCAGCCAATGAATTTCTATTGTCCCTTGAAATAGGTCTGGTGCACAGTTTAGCTTACAGCTAGGATATATCTCCTTGTTGCAAGAAGGTCCTAATGCATCCTCAAGGGCCATCCACCTGCTCTTTGCTGCCTCGGTCACCATGGAGATTTGTCTAATTCAGCAAACGATAGGGTTAAATAAGTACACATTCAGTGAAGCATGAACAGCAGCAAAAGATGTAAACACTTGTAGGATGCCTGGAACAACGGACGGCATAAAATAGAGGGACTAGACATGGTGCTTTGATATGCTTTTAAAATTCACATCTTTCCCCTCCTCCACTCAAAAAAAAAAAAGAATTGAGACATCTCTTAGTAGCTGTTTGTGGAGGAACACTAAATGGGATCCGAATTGATGGAAAGATGGACAGAAGAGCTGGTGGAGGGATGGCATGAATGTAAAGCTTGAATAGAATTAAAGAATTAAGCAGCACTTGATATTCTTCGAGCCCCTGAGGCCATTAGGGGAGCGGCGTGCTCTCCAAATTAGAGTAATGAGGAGTTTGGTACCCAGCTAGCTACATGAAAAAAGGAAGGAGGGGAGTGTAGGATCAGGACAGAAAACACATGATTCTTTGAGGGAGAGGAAGAGAGTAAAAATCCCAAAATTTCAATCCCAAATATCTAATTGCTTCTATAGGTTCAGGAACAGTTCCCTGATGAGTTTGTGTGCAGAATACATTTGAAACACTCTTTTCAAAGACACAGGGGGTAAACAGAACAGGGAGAGGAGGGAGTGGGGTGTCAATGATAAAAGAAAGAAGTAAGTGAGAGATTGATAGAAAGAGGGAGAGGGAGAGAGAGAGGGAAAGAGAGAGAGAAATGTGAGTCACACACTGCTGCTCTGATCCCAGCATGTGTCCATCTCTGTCCCAGCCAGACCCCCTGCCTGGCCTCCAGGGAATGTATGTGTGCAGGAGACTGACAGAGAAAGAGTTTGCATTGGTCAGCAAGCGTGTGTGCATCGGTGTGTTTTCATGCACGCTTGTGTGTCTGTGTGAGTTCTCCCAGCGGGGGTGAAAGCACATGGGATGAAGGGCACATGCAGCTAAACACACATGTAGTCATAAAACAGTCGCTCGCAGAGGTTTTTCTCAGAACCTGCCACAAACAAGCGTTGCTGAAGGGGAGAGAGGCTGCATTATTTCTCAGAACAGAAGAAACACACTTGAGTCCTGAATCGCAGACACTCCTGAATGCACCTTGATCTAAACGGTTAAATGGGCATCATTTTCACCTCTTCCCAGGCCCGGAAAAGATTTTCTTTAAAGTCTGGGCAGATAGAAAGACTACATAGCAAGCTAATTCAAAGAACGGCTGTCCAAGAAAAACAATGTGCAGCTTTAGATATTTAATGGGGCCGCGTCATGTTGGTGTTTCACAGATTCTCCTCAGCATATCTTGATCTGTTCAACATGTTCACAAAACATCTGATACACATTCCCACTCTCATGGGCAGCAAAAAGATGGATAATGATCACATGAACAAGGAGCTCACTGTTGTCATGTCAGGGGAGATACATAAACACAGACAATGTATTGGATTTAAAACTCTTCTAATATACTGTTACCTCTGTGTGTGTTTCTGTATAAATTATGTTAATCTGACTAACATGCGCACTACTTTTGTGTGTAATTTTCTGATGAGAAACATGCCTCGCCACTGTTCACCACGATTAGACCATCTATTCACTTGCACACATTTGTCAGGGATTCTCCTGTTTAATTCCTCTGTCTGTGCCAAGACACATCCATGTAATTATGTGTCAACGAGCAATTAAAGCATCAATTAAGGTTTGTTAAGCAGAGAGCATATCATGGAGAACAGTGATTAGCCACAATAGTCACATTAATGTTTGCGTAGCTTGATGAGATTGTCAATAAGCTGATTATCTACACTGTTAAAGGTTTATCATTACAATTACAATAACTTACTACAATTAGCCAGTAAGTGGCTACAAGTCATATGGTGGTAAAATTACAAGCTACTGCAATTTTTTAGCATACTGTAAAATCACAGTGTGTTTATAGGTACTGTAACAATATAATGAAACATTACCTTTTTATCTATCTATCTATCTGTGCATAATCATCACCTCCACTGATTGAGTCACTCCTCACTCCATCTTCAGCCCTTCTTCCTCTTTCCCTCCCTCTCCGATTCTTTTTTCCATGCTCTTACCATCCCTCTTTTCCAATCACCCTTCTAAGTGCTTCTGTGAATCCCTGCAAACTACTAGTTTCAATCAGCCTGTTTTCTACCGTTCCTTGATCCACCTCCATATGCTTTCTTCATCCCAGCGGCCTCCTCCCCTCAACCCCTCCTTCCTTTGTGTGCTCTTCGGAGCGCCGGTGGATGACAACTTCATCCCCATCTTCAGGTTCTCTGACCTCCTCTCCATCCCCCTCTTCTTCTGTTGGAGTGGTGCTACATGACAATCCAATATCCACCAGTCTCGGCCTCCTAATACTCATCCTCTTCTTCTCTGCTTTCCATCTGTCCAATATTACATCTGCAAATACCCACAATGTAACACAATGTACCCAACAGACAAGGATAGCAATAATTAATATTAATAATATTAACACTAATACACAAGAAGACAGAAGAATAGATCACATACAATGCATACAAACACACTTCACACTATATATTTACAGATATTCCTCTAGACTCTTGTAGGTCAGATCTTCATTTGTTTTCGGTGTTTCGATGCTTAAAGTTTCAATGACTGCATGTGCTATTTTCCCTGAATGAGATACTAGTGTGTGTATTCTTAGTGTATTTATCCTTTTGTGTCTTTTGTCCTTTAAAAATAAAAAAAAACAATTATTATTATTATTAATAATATTTTTTTATTAATGAATTTATTATGGTTTCTTATGGCTCTGCCAAATATATTTGCTAATTTAAATTTTTAAACAATTTAATTTTGACTAGAACGGCACATTCAGTGAACCTAACAGCTGCTGTAATGTCTGACCAAATGATTTTTTCTTTCTTTTTAGACATTGTTATTTTACATTTTTTTATTCGTTAGGGATTATGCATACTCATAATAATTATTATTTAAAAAATCAGTGTTAATGTATCAGTGTTGGCTGAGCAGCTGATTTTCACCTGTCATCCTAACGCAAATGAAAACAGAACATTTGTCACCAGTATTTATTCATAGTAAACACAGTCCAGCCAAGATGTTCAAGAAAAAAGCATTTTACCAAAGGCAAATTTCCAAATCAGAGAATCTCACGCACATATTCATTATGTTGTTGTAATGTTGTTACTGTGCTATGTTGTTCACATTACACTGAGAATATATAGGATTCCAACCGGTCTATGATTATACATGTGATGTGCAAAGCAAATAGGATGGATGTGTATAGATTGAGCAACATATTTGATCAAATGACACAGCCTTAAAAGATATTAAGTCCTGTAGTTTGTTTTAGGTTTCTGAACTTTTTAGGTATTGGCCCTCCACAGAATATCTAATCATCTTGACTCCTCAAAATGCCAAGAGACATGATGCGGACAAGCATGTTTTTACGTGGGACACATGGCAGCACAGGGACTAAAAACGCCCTATATGTCACCGTCTGACGGCTGAGTCTAATGTTCGCTCTCTGTGGGTGAGTGAAATTCACACATGTGAACACACCTCCTGCCCGACGAGAAGGGAGCCATCTGACCTTTTGCTTGTGGTGGATTTAATGAAGAGACTGTCATTTGCCATCTCTGTGACTGGATGCTTTGCTCACACATGCTGATGTAGAAATGCACACCATGATATTGTCCACTTTGTTCAGCAGGCGGTTTGAGTCCATCATTTCTGTCGGTATTAATAAGCCAGCTACTTGGACAAATGGTCTGCCAGTCAGAACTGGCTGGTCGTTATTGGCCACCAATGTGTTTTGGGGAAAAAGAAGACACCACTGACATCCAGTGGCCGAGTAATAAATTGTTAATGCAATAGTCGGTACATTCAGGCAAGGCAAGGAGAACTGAGGTATCAAATATATATACAGTCCGTGGCATATTTGGCTGAGATGATTCTGACACAGCTTTTGTACCACATGATGTTTAAATTTTGCATCGGGGCCACTGTGGCCAACAAAAGAAGTTGGAAGAAGTCGAGTTACCTGTCACTTTCTACCACTTGATATCCTGTAGACTGCTTGCCCTAAAAATGTCCTGTGTGTTCGCGTTTCACATGAGAAACATACATTTTCAAGCAATACAAAGAGTTGCCATCCTGTATGGTTGCATGCTATATACACATACAGTATACATTCATAATTTTCACTTGTAATTAGAGCTGTTTCATGAACATCTAACAACTTATCAGAACATTCAACTGAAAGAAATATTGATGATACTCAGAAAATTAGCACAGATGTTCCTAGGACAGTTTATTGATTTCAGGTCTTTAGATCACTGTCTCTCTTTTTTCATAATAGTTTTTTATGCGTCACCTACTGTCTTTATTTTTATTCTATTTTTTTCTTTACATACCTTACCTACCTACATACATTTCCCATTTATGAGTTACTTAATCATTTATTGATGTGTCTGATCATTGTGCTTTTTGTTTTTGGTCTACACACACACACACACACACACACACACACACACACACACACACACACACACACTTTAGATTACATGCAAATAAGCAACACACATTTCTACCTCTTAGATGTGTGTTTTTGTTAACAATGATTCAAAGTACCAAGCTGCAGTTGAAGTGTGTAGGTTGTATGACTGTGCAGCAGCCTTGCAGACTGCTCTGACTGAATTCTTCCCCGATCGTCACGTTCCATGGCTCATACACTGTCACACTGCAAATAAAACACACACGTGCACAGACACACACATACATACATACATACATACGCTGAATCACGGCATCTGTCTTTTCCATCAGTGGTATTAATTCTAAAAAGTTGTTTTTAATGTATTCATAACTGAATCAAGATATCAAAAAAAAAACTGGTGCCACTTTCTGATAAGGAACCACTTATAAAGGATTTATAAGATGTAATTAGTTGCTTTACTAATAGTAAATAAATAATCTTCTAAAGCATTATAGATCATGTTTGATAGTCCAAACATCAACTTGTTACAGTAACACACAAGTACAGACATATACACACCTGTTATATAGCAGTGTGCAGCAGGTGACCAGTTGTGAGCTGATGGTCATGTTGGTGTTGCTGAACTCTGTGCTCAGGAAACGTGGGCAGTGAAGATCAGGGATGTACAACATACCTAGAAACCCACACAACAATGTAATCATACAAATTATAAAAATCACTTGATTGACATGTTTTATACTGTGTAGCTCTGATGTACAGACTTGTACTGACTAGAACATTTTTTTCATGACTCATAATAATTTCAGCATGCAGTTAGAATTAAAATGGAGCTAGCAGATAGATATGTGTCTCTGTCTATATATGTATATGTATACACTGTATGAGGCTAGAGGGACACATGATATCGTGCATGTTTAATCCATTATTGAATGGGCCAATTCTCAGCTTAAAGTGACTTATACCATTTCTTGTTATAAAGTTACAGAGTTCAGTTATAACTACTTATGACCACGTCATGTTTTTGCTCCTAGTCACTCTTAATATTCTGACAAAAACATTATTTCCAATCACATATTGCTACAGTCACATTTAATTCAAATATGATTAAAATAGTTCAGTAATGTGAATCAGTATGAGAGCAGAATAGTTCTACTTTAAGAAAAGAGAACCTGCATCTCTTTGATGGGTTCCTGTAATATTCTGTATCCTGTGCTGTAATATAATGTTAGTTTAGAGAAGTGTCAGCTTGGACATGCTCTGGCTCTGTAGTAAAGTACTACAAAGTTCCACAAAACCATTACAAACAATGCAGATGTATTGTCTTGCTCCTATGTAGGAGGGGTGGAGGGCCTTTTACTGTGCCCAGGAGCCCACTATCTCACATCCAACTTAATTCCCATGGGTGGAATTAAGTGCAGCATTAAATAAGCAAAAAATAATGTTATAAACTGGCTACAGTTTCAGGGTAATTTAATGTTATTTCAAGGTGCAATCGGAATGAGAAACACACTCTTTGAATAAGGCAGCATACAGTGCATTCACTATGTGGATACAATAACATAATATCTGTCAGATAGAGGCACAGATAGACTGAAACTCACCTGCAATACAAGCTGTCATGAAACAAGAGACGCTGCCAGCAACCAGAGCTCTGAAGCCACAACTTGAGATGTCAGACCGTCTATCAGGAGCCATGGCCGCTGGAAAAACACAAAACTATAACTACAGAAATATATGATCTTTGACGTTTTATATGAAATTGGCTATTTGTTGTTTGGCACTTTCTTATGCTTGTAACAGTGGCCCTTTTCAGACCTTGAATTAACATTCGTCCTAGGTGATCTGACAACAAGTGGACAGTTTGTCAGTTCACATCTGCCATTAAAATGCATCTCCACATGCGTCTCGAATTGTGATCAGATCTCTCTTCCCTGCTCAAAATGCAAATAAACACGTATGTTATGTTTAGCCAGTCTGACTATGACTGACAGACAGTGTGTCAATGTGTTTGAGAGAGAGAGAGAGAGAGAGAGAGAGAGAGAGAGAGAGAGAGAGCAAGGCAAAGGTTTCCACAGTTTTTCAGTCCTTTTTAGATTTAACATCTGTGGATTTTTTTCACTGTATCTTGTGCTACAAAAAGATTTCATTTTAAAATAAATTTTTATCAAGGACAGCCTGTTCATTTGACATATTGGGGGATATGCAAATTAGCAATGTTCAACTTGTAATTTCTTAATTATCTTGTCTACAAATATCCCCTTGCTTGACATAGCCAACATTGCCACACAGGAGTCACTTTTTATTCAACAGTCACACATTTCTTTGATTCTTGGATTAGAAACTTGAATTGTCATCTTTAAAGATCCGAATGAGGCTTTTGTCAAGCATTTCCAGTGCCAGCCTATTTTCGACATTTGCACAAACACACAAACAAACTCACAGACAGTTGTTTTGGGTGCATTCATTAAGTTTTGGAAATTTGCTGATGTTATATGTGTTGGAGAATTAGGGTGGAATATTGAAGTTTCCTTTTGTTTCCCAGGCCATAAGGCAGCTACAGGCTAAATGAAACAGACTTAACTCCCATTCAGCCCACACGCCACAACTCGCTTAACTGTAACAGATGGATTCCTCACCACTTACGCCCACTTATGCCAGTCATAAAAAAAATAAAGGACACATTCGATTTTCTATCCTGTAGGCTACATTTCTATGTGTGGCAGAAATTGTATCTGGTGCAGTTTTCTTTTTACATTTGGGACAGTAACATGCTGAATTAAAATAAGAACATATTCATCTGAATTTTTCAACATTTGAAACTAGTCCGGATCTTCATGAACTTTGATTTTCCTGTTTGCCTGTTTGGTGTTGGTGCTCAGCCTTGCTAACAGCTCAGAGGTGACACTCACACAGCGCTCCCACCGACATTCCCAGTGAAGCAAAATTGGAAAATCCACATAAAGCGTAGGTTGCGATGGTTTCAGAGTGGACCTAGATTAGGAAACAAAATTTAAAGTTCATTTTACTCTGAATTAAAACAAAAGTGAGAACATTAGGTGAGATGAGTGAGACTTACAGAAATATATTGCTTTACATTGTTCACATATGCAGGCCCTCCTGCCTTCCGCCTCTTGATTAACTCAGACAACTTCTGATAGGCCACAAACTCATTGAGGAATGTCTTTATGCCAATCAGCTCAGCAACAACGAAACAGTCCTCCCAGGAAACACCCATCATGAAGGAGAGTGGCATGAACACATAGGAGCAGATGAGCTGAAGGAGGGACAGACAGAAATAAAGGGAGTGTGAGTGCGCCCATGTGGGTCACACAATACGTGTATGCTGAGAGTTGTGTGTGTGTGTGTGTGTGTGTGTGTAGTCAGGCCCTTCACCGCAAAGCTGAGCTGCGGACAGTCAAACATCCCGCCGAGCCAGGAAAGGACAGCGTCGAAAAAGGATAACAATGCCAGGAATGAAATGAGGTTGACAACAATGTTGGCCACTAAACCCACAGCACTAGATGCACCTTGGGATGCCACCTCCAACACATTTGTACTCTCTCTGAGGAGACACAGGCATTTGAGAAGTTATGACACTTGTGCTTCAGAGTTAATTTGAAAGTGTTACTTTTTTTCATTGCTGACACTTTTTAAAAATTTTCTTACTTAGAAATTTAGTAGAAATAAAATAGCTGCCAACTCCAATGGCACAACACTTGTAATGAAGACTTTGCAAATGCATACAGGATTTCACAGAAATGCAAATTTGAGAAAAGGATGAAGCTGTAAAACAGAAATATGACTGAACAGGTTCTATGTTTCTGCAAGTTAACCTTGTGGAAACATAAATCTTATTTTCCAAATCATACTTGTCTCTTTTGGCCTCTCCTACCCTTTGCCCATTTTGAGGTCACGGTCACTGCTTGTGACCTTTGGGGTCTCGGTTTCAGGCCAGAAAGTCTTGGCAATGGCCAGGGAGGCTGGAGCGGACAACAATGATGCTGTCAACAAGTGTGATGCCTCAACCTTAAAAGAGCAGCACACAGAAGATTACATGATTACATAAATTCAGTAGTCAAGCACTCACTTCAAGTCATTCACAAAATTGCAGTCTAAATAATTCCCCCAGGCCCTTGGACCAGTAACGGAAAATTACCAGGCTATATTTCAAACAGTGCTAAAGTAGTTTTCTCTTATATCAGCCTAATTCATATTCTTAGATGTGGGTTTGGTTCAGGGTTTGGTTCAGGAACTCCCACTCTACAGGTAAATCCCTGACATTTCCAACCTCACGTCATAAACTGGACTTTCATCTTTGATATTTATTACTTGCTTAAAATATATTCTTTTAAATACTGGTTTAACAATCTCAGTTCCCTCGTCATCTTCCTTACCCCCAAAGAGATAAAGGCTCCTAAAAGGGAGCCAGAGATGCTGGCAAAACCTCCTGTCATCACAGCATGGATCTCAGAGATAGTTAGCCCACTGATATATGGACGAATCAGGAGGGGCGAGTCTATCTGAAAGAGAGAGGTCAGGCTGATTTGAGATTAGTGGGTTGATGGGTTTATATAAATATATAATTAATTGTTTTTTTGCAGTAATTTATTGTTTAATCTGTTGTTTACGTGTCCCAGGAATATATTTGCAGCTGCAACCATGGATTCTGTTGGAGACGTTCCCATGGTAACCTGCATTACCAGTCCAATCTGAGAAAAAAAGAAAAATCATTATGGCAAAGAAAATCAAATCAATCAAATAACTGAACTGCTGACAATTATAACATATACAAAAATCATTAAAATTCAAAAATCATGGCCTTCGTTGGTTCTTTATGCTCCAATTATGAATTACTTTAAACTGTCATTATTTGTCTTCCATTCCTTAAACAGTTCTTCTTATATGAAAGGTGCTTTAACAATAAATCGTTTGAAATAACTGATCTGGTATCAGATTTTTCCCTCTGTTCGTGCACTTTATTCTCCCACTTTCTCACCTTGCAAATGAGCCACTGCATGAAGCCAATATAGTAGAGGATGGAGATGACAGAGCTTAAAAAAACCAGTATAGGCATCACCTGGGGAGAGTCCACAATAATAATAATTATAACAATAATAATCATCATCATCATCATCATCTGTATTATTGAATATGTTTACATGCACACTAGTATCCTGATTTTGAATCTTATCCTGGTTTCATATTCAGTGTATTTTACAATGATGACATTTTACATGGAAAATAAGAAACGTTGTTTACATTCCTATACACCTAATTCTGACAGTTTCTAGATTTGTAACAGTTGTGGCTCGTCTTTTTCACTTTCATTTTGGCAAGTACTGTTTTCTATGATAGTTTTTGCTGTATTGACTAACTACTACTGTAACTTGGACAAATGAAGCACGGGCAAACATGACAGAAGGCCAAGATGAGATGTTTTTATGCCCAAACACAATACTCAATCATAACTGGGTACTGATGTCCACATAAACACCCAAACACCCAAAATCTACTCATTCATGTGTGAGTGCCTGTGTGCATCATGCGAGTGTGTGCCGTACCTTAAAGGCAAAGAAGTGGTCTGTGTAACTGGCACCAAACACAAACTTCGACCCAGCATCTGTGAATGACATAAAGATCTGTATGGAGATTTTGAATTGTTAGCAACAGAAACTTTAGAAACAGTTGATTGTATCTTTTTCATGTAATTTGTAAATCTTAATCGCCTATACTTTAAAAGTCAAGTAGACAGGAATATTTGTGAATGTCTCATAACTACAGTAAATTTACCAAAGGCAAAAGTAGACATTTATGCTGGCAACGTAGAAAAAACACTGACAAGCCACTGACAATATATATGTTTGTGTGTGTGTCTGTACTTATGTACTTCTGCTTGTTTTCCAAGCCATACCAGGGCAGCAAAGCCAAATGTGGTCCTGAGAATCAGCAGGCCAAAGACAAACTGCAGCCCAATCCCACAAAGCAAAGTTTGCCAAGACCACTGCAACACACATGTGCAACATATGATCATAAATTCATTTGTCAGCGTGTGTGTTTTCGAATACATGTTGAAGCTTGGATTTGCATCCCTTACCCTGAATGGGTGTTTGGAGAAGAGCATCATTAAGAAGATGAGGAACAGCAAACCAGAGAAAGACACAAGCTGTCTCGTCCCCAGCTGGGCTGTGTCCAGTGCAAGCCAGCACACCACAGCCACCAGCACTAACACATATTTTATCCTGGTGGGTGAGAGAGAGAGAGAGAGAGAGAGAGAGAGAGAGAGAGAGAGAGAGAGAGAGAGAGAGAGAGAATGCCAGACCAGGCAGGGGAGGGGAGACGAGGAGTACAGGGGAGAGAGACAGTCTGTTCATCTGTAATCTGTGTTATGTATCAGTATGTTGTAAAGAAGCTAAAGGATGACAAAAAGAGCATTCCCTGTCTTTTATAAGAAGAAGTTTTTATATACTCAGCTGGTGCATCGCTTAGGAGAGGATTAGACTTTGTAGACCGCCACTCTGTCACAACAGTTTTAAGACTGAAGTTCTATGGGATGCTATGGGAAATTCAAGCAGCATGTGAGGTATTTGTAAAGAGAGCATCTAACCTCCAAAAGGCTAGAGTTCCAAATTCACAATGACATTTACTGTCCCATTTTAGTTTTGTTTTACCCCTTTTTAAGAATTGATTTTTTCTTATTTATACTTAACCCTGTGACTTTCCAAACACCTGGAGGCAGCAGATACAAATACTAAAAACATAACAACATACACATCCAACAGACAGACAGCAACATAGCATTCATCTGGAGTCGAGATTCTGGCCACCTGACAAATGTAACTCCAATATTCCCTTCCTGTTAGCTTTGTTTTTCTCTCCAAAAGCTCCCGAGGGAAATACGTTGCTCTTTAGCTGCTAAATGCTCCACTATGTTCACCAGCTAGTGGCTAACTTTGTCTGCAGTTTGGTGAAGACCCCTAGGACTGCACCTGGCAGGCCCGTCATGACTGCTGGAGTTTGTGTCTACTATGACACATTCACCCTTTATCAGCTACAGCAATAAAAGCAAGTCTTGTGCAGTATGTCTTAGTTTGCAACATCCAATAGTGGTATTATTGATTGCATTAAGATGAAGGAAGGAGATCAAACTCCTTCAGGTGCGTGATCGGGAAAGTTGAGAATCTTTAACCCATTTGGTTAAACGTTTGTTATTTTGGTGTTTCATGTTATTACATTTATTGTGGTCTGTCTTGTGGCTCCACTTCACCTTTCTGCTGAGGAAACTTTGCCTGAAGTGCCCTTGAGCTGGCGCAGTTACTTCACTAAATGTGCACTATAGCACATAGAAGTTTTTCTCTATACCACCAACTGCTCTGGTTTCCTTTATCCTGCCCAGTTTGAATTCCGGGCTCATGCTGATTTCACAAATAATGAATTTCCTCAGTCTGAGGACATTGTTGTTGCCAAGAGACAGAAAGCCCCCCGAACTTGTCTGAACTGTCTTGCAAATTATATGCATTACATATTTGCACCATATAAGATATATAAGAATATATTATCAGGTGAAAAACTACAGCATAGAGCCTTATGTGAAGCAGAATTTAGCCAAAGAACAATGTAAGCATAATTACATTCAGGCACATTACCATTAGCTATATGTAGAAACAGATAGGTTTAATGGTCTACCTAGAGTCCATTTTGTATTTTATTGTTCATTATATAATGATTTTAAGGGCTGCCATTTGGTAAGATGACTAAAAGAGTTCTTCTCGTTGAATGACCATAAGAAACTTGAGCTGTTTTGGAGGGGGGGGCGTTGTGTGGTTGATTTTAGATTTTAGTTCAAGCTACTAAGACAGATTTTTAGTAAACTGACTTTACAATACTTTGATTGACCTTTTTTTTTTTTTTTTGCATAATTTGCATCATTATGGTTTAAGGACCAATAACCTTGTAGCTGTCTTTTGTTAAGGAAAGTGCACACCAGTGTAGGAAAACTTAAACAAGGTTTGAACACCGTCTCATTTCTCACCATCTGATCCAGAACCAGTTTCTGCTGCGAAGGTCTCTGATAGGATGGAGCTCCTCCCACACCCAGTTGCCATAGCGTTCCATCATCCAATCCCAGAACAGAAAGAATACAGTTACCAAGGAGATGACCAGCAGCCCGACAGCTCGGTGGAAGTTCAGAACACATGCCGCTATCACTATGGCAGCGAAGCCTGAAATAAATTCGGAATTAATATGAATTATATCCCACAGTGCTGACAACATTTTAAACCTTTTTTAATAAAACTATTTTAATCTTTTTATGTATTTGCAGCATTACAAGAAGCCATGAAGGGGTGTAAGCTTTAAAATTACTGGCCTGCCACAGACATCCACTGCAAAAATCTGACTTATCTGTAACTCTACATATTGTCCATCACTCTGTTGCAGTGGTGGAACAAGTACTCAGATCTTTTACTAAAGTAGAAGCATCAATACCCCAATGGATTGGATTATTGGTGCATTAATGCCACTTGTAAATCACTTACTGTAAATGGTGGCGCTAATTTTTATTATACTGCCGGGCGTAGTAATCTGTACTAATGCATCATAATTTAGTTGTTGATTATATTTTGTATTAATAACTTGAATCTGCTAGTAACTAAGTTTTAAAATAAATGTAGAGCAGTAAAAAAGTTTAAAGTAGCATACCGTGGAATTAAATGTACTTTGTTTCTTCTCACCACTGCTATGTCATGCAAATGTCTTAAGGAATGCACATAAAATATGTCACATGTATAACAAATACACCAAAGTTCATGATGTCTGACAACCTGTGAACTGTAAACCAATTGTTTCATATTTCAAACTAATTATTGTCTTTTTGTCCTAAGTCTTCATCCAATGTGTTTTCATCTGTAAACTTGCATTCGCTCTGAATGTAGCAATTTTTTTTCTTTTGAGTTTTTTTTAATTCCAATTCATATAATTTTGAAGACATAAAAGCCATTAGTGATAATTGAGAGAAACATAAGTTCTTCTGTAGGATCTGTTATTATATTTGGATCAATGAAATGTCACAATACCACTAATTCTGCTATTAACATTGTTATAGAAGAAGACAGAAAATGCATGAGTGTGCATTTATGTGTCTGAACAGTAACACAATACACATCCACATGTGCTGTGATAAACCATGGACTGATTTTTCCAGTAACAATCATAGCAATTGTGTGGTTAAGTGTCCTAAAGAGAAAAAAAATGTTCTCTATTTTTCTCAGTCTGTTCTCCACACACACACTCACTCACACACACACACACACACAGATATCAATATTCTCCAAGGCACAGAGCATTGTAGGTCCACTCTAACATCAGCTAGATTTCAAAGGTAAATTAAATAGCACTTTACAAGCCTTCATGCACACTGAAAGGCCTGAAGCAAGACTAGATATTGATTTTTCAGTATATTAAAGTTTGGTAATTTTATCATATGTAGTAGCAAAATCAAAAGTACCAAACAAAGAAAATCAGAACAGTGCTGTTTCAGCATTGATGATAAGCTCTTTCATGCCTTTCATTTCAGAAATAAGTTTCTTGTGGAGGCCTACAAACAGAGACCCACAATCCACTGAGTTACACTTTAACAGATGCTAACAAAGATGATTTACCTGCTGCTAAAACCAGGTGTATAAACAGGCGGATCTGGTCTCTGTGCTCAGCCAAATAGCCCTTGACTGCCTCCATTTTCTTCTCCAGCAAGCTAGGTACACACACAAAAAAGAAAGATAAGGGGGTAGATAAGGAGAGAGGACATAAATGTTACATCAAAGGGACAAGAGAGAGGCTGGCGATTTTCAAGACACTGAAAAAATCTGACATGAAGAGATATTGTGTGTTTGGCAAAAACAAAGTAACAACCTTTTGTTCTGTTGATCCGTCTCTCTCTGTGCATTGTCTGCAACTTCGAAAGCACTGTCCATATCAAGGTATATCTGATCCTGCTCCTGACACACATGCACGCGCACACACACACACAGAAACACACGTCTTAAATTATGTTATTTTAGGAGTGTATTTTGCAATTATACATTTACACAAGTGACACATACTTCCTCAGAAGCTTAATTCAAACTGTTATTTGAAGGAGTGCTTCTTTCTTCCTTGTGCACACAGAACACAAGCACTGTCTCTGTACATACAAGTGTGTGTCCTGAAGGTCCAACACAGCATATTTATCCTGCAAACCTGATCCTGCAGCCACAGAACATACTTAGATATATCACACCTCACCATACTTGGATGGCAAAAACATTCTATGGCTGAGGGATGCTGGTTTTTAAGCATTTTGGGAGACAAATTTGTCGTAACTCGATGCCCAAAACTATTTCATTTAGTTACTTGTTTACCAAGCTTCTGGTCTAATTCAGTAAAAATCAGCAGTGAGATGTTCTAACAAATAAATACATGTAAACAAAGGCTTTTTCATGAGTTTACATTTAGTATGCTGTTGAAATTGACTGCAGGGGGTCTGAAATGTTTCCAGTTCTTATAAACAGTATTATTTGAGAATAGCTGGAGATACAAGTCTGGGCTGTATTCTAATATTTCTCCTACCTCTGAGTCAAAGGCCTTGTTGTCTCTCCCACTTTCTTGGCTCTTCCTCTCTATTGTGTTCAGCTCCATTCTCTTGTTGTTCATGTATGTTCAAGCACTGGCCAGACACTTACTGGAAAACGTTTTTAAGCACACCTGTCTTATCCTTTTCCACTCCCACTCCCCCTCCTTCTGTGACTCTCTGTCTCTGTCTTTCCCTGTATCTCTTTCTCTCCCTCGCTTTTCCGCCCTGCTGTTTTCTTTTTGTTACTTTGTTCGTTTTTAGGATACCGTGGTATCAGACAGACAGACAGACAGACAGACAGACAGACAGACAGACAGACAGACAGACAGGACAGACAAGACAGACAGACAGACAGACAGACAGACAGGGGTGTATAGTTGAGTCATGCTGTTTTAGTGTAAACAGGAAGAATAATTGGCACAAACCTTCTAAAATCAGACCAAATACCACAGCATACTATGACATCTGTCTTCTCTTATTCACTCATTTCTTCCAGTATCCCCACAGCCTTGAAAGAACAGTGTTTCCGATAGTGGATAAAGTATTAGTAAATAGTACTTATGTCTTTTTCGTGACTAAACCATTCTTATAGAGAAACCTCCAACTTCATGGAAAGCTGTATTGTTCCTGCATGAATGCAGCTTGTGCAAATGGCATGGCGAGGTCTTACTTTTAAGTATCCCAGTAGCCACTAGAGAGCACTAGTGTATAATTTCTCGAGACCATAATACACATGGATGATATGCAGAGGTTAGAACAGGTTCATGTGAGTCCACATGACTATTTATATATACTGGGTGACACACTGGGAGCTCTCATTGAAAGCTATTCTGTAGTAGCTATAGCTGTAGTAACATTGAATTACCAAAACAAAACAATTAAGTGCAGCAAATTAGACAACAAATCATTACTATATAATATAACATTGGTAATGAAGAACCCTCCACAAAGATTGTTGTAAGAAAATAAATAATGATTTAGATATTACTCAGTTTCTGGTGGAAAAAGCTACATCATCTGCCCTGCTACATCAGTTCCATTTAGAAAGCTGAGCTTCCGTCAAATGCAAAAAAGGAAAAGAACGAAAAAGAAAGAAAGACAACCAGACAGACTTCTTTGCACTAAGGACACACAGGCCCCACTGAATACTGCTCTCTATTAGCACTTTGATACAGCCAATCCACATGTTAAAACCATTAATCAAAACAAAGTCAGGAAGTTCAATAAAGCAAGAACAAAGTAGGGAAATTGTTCTGACAGACTGAGGTTTGTTTATGCATAGATCATATACCAAAAACCCCTCACAGTGAGTAAGGGAAGAAAAACATTTGATACACTGGGTGAGCCAGTGTGATGTTGTCTTCACATACTTGCACCTCATTGTGTCTAGTGTCCCACTCATGACCCTATCTCTCTATTACTCCTAGCTTTGGATGTAAGCAGCATTATGTATTTTTAGGGGCCCACATGAATAAATCTTAAAAGGATCTGGTAAATGTTTGGGCTTGAAATAGACTTGTTCTTGGTTACCTTTTGTGAACCTAAAGTGATTACCAAGATTAAATAAAAGGTATATTTAAAAAATAATCACAGCACACCCACTTTGGCAGGTAAAGGCAAGTAAGCAGGAAACAACAGCTAACTTTGATGTAACAACAAGTAATTGTGATGCAGTGACAGGTGATTGCGATACAATGACAAATGACTGTGATGCAACAATAGGTGACTTTAGGTGTGTTGGACATCGACTTCGGCTGACTTTGCCTTACTTCGCCTTAACTGCCACTGACTGCAGAGGTGGAGTATAAAAAGACAGCAATCAAGTCAGACTACAGTCTACTTCCCGTACTGCAAGTGAGCTCAGTACCCCTGTGTCACAGCGCCAGGTTGTTCACCCAACTCACGAGTATTTCCCTTAGTATCACTTACCCAAACATATGTTGTTCTAAAACATTTCCAGGCCAGGCACAAGTTTACATTAGTCTTTTGACACACATGAAATTAAATCTAATTATACAACAATTAGTTCCAAGTAATAACCAAGTAATTTGATTGGATGAGAGGCCTTCCATGAGTTATGATATAGAGTACAACAGCACTGGGACATTTAACTACATGTATACTCCACTTCACAGGGGTTCTATTAACCATTCATTAGCGTTACACTAACGGTTGTTGTCAATCTTAGATTGTAACTAACTTTGCAAAGATGAATATATTTCCACATAACATTTGAATTAAGTTTTGTGTAGTCGTCCTTGTCAGAAGAAGATGAAGGGATGTTCTTTTACAAGAACAAACTCCTGAACTAAACTGTTTTTGCAGCTTTCTTTCTGGAAATGAAAAACTGTACTGTTGGTGCCCATACGTAAAAAATGAGCTGCCAGAAGGAGATCAAATACTTTGCATCCCTTTTGGGAGAGAACATTAAAAGATAAGGATCTGAAGTTCTTAGATATAAACAGAACACATCATGCGTGTCAGTGAAGCCTTAAACCAAAGTTCTGTAGTGACAGAGGTGGTTCCCAGTTGTGCAGCCAAAGGAAAGCAACTGCAGCACCTGATACCTAAGATTTATGTCACAATAGGTGATTGTTATATAACAATGGGTGACTGATACAACAATAGGTGATTGTGATGCAACAGGTGTCTGATAAAACAACAGGTGATTGTGGTGTAACAATAGGTGATTGTGATGCAACATGTGACTGTGATGCAACAACAGGTAATTGTGATGCAACAACAGGTGACTGTGATGTAACAATAGGTGATTGTGATGCAACAACAGGTGACTGTGATGTAACAATAGGTGATTGTGATGAGACAACAGGTGACTGTGATAAAACAACAGGTGATTGTGGTGCAACAACAGGTGATTGTAATGCAACAACAGGTGATTGTGATGCAACAACGGGTGACTGTGATGCAACAACGGGTGATTGTGATGCAACAACAGGTGATTGTGATGTAACAATAGGTGATTGTGATGCAACATTAGGTGATTGTGATGAGACAACAGGTGACTGTGATCAAACAACAGGTCTTTGTGATGCAACAACAGGTGTCTGTGATAAAACAACAGGTGATTGTGATGCACCAATAGGTGATTGTGATGCGACAATAGGTGATCGTGATGCAACAATAGGTGATTGTGATGCAACAGGTGACTGTGATGCAAAAACAGGTGATTGTGATGCAACAATAGGTGATTGTGATGCGACAATAGGTGATTGTGATGCGACAATAGGTGATCGTGATGCAACAATAGGTGATTGTGATGCAACAATAGGTGATTGTGATGTAACAATAGGTGACTGATGCAACAATAGATGATTGTGATGCAACAATAGGTGACTGTGAGCAACAATATTTTGATACAATGATAGGTGACTGTGATGCAAGACCAGGTGACTGTGATGCAATAAAAAGTGACTGTGATGCAATAAAAAGTGACTGTAATACTACAACAGGTCCCTGTGACCTAGGTGATTTTGATGCAATAGGCAAGGTTGATACAACCATAGATGACTGTGATGCAAGAATTATATGACTGTAATGCAACAATAGGTTATTGTGATGCAGTAATTGCTGAGTTTCATGCAACAATAGGTGAATTTAACACTAAAATAGGTGATTGTGATGCAACAACAGGTGACTGTAATGCAACAATAGGTGACGGTATGCAACAACAGGTGACCGATGCAATAACGGGACATTTATGCAAGAACAGGTGCCTGTGATGCAACAATCGGCAACTGTGCTTAAACAATAAGTGATGCAGCAACAGGCTATCGTGATGGAACAATAGGTGACTGTGATGCAACAATATGGTTGTGGTGCAGGATTAAGTGATTGTGTGGAAATGACAAGTGACTATGATGCAAAAACAGACGAATTTAATTCAACAATCGTTGACTGTAATGCAACAATAGGTGATTGTGTTATACTTTGATGCAAAGGCGTGACTGTGATGCAACAGCAGGTACCTGTGATGCAGCAATATGTGATTGTGATGCAAGAACAGGTGACTGCGATGCAATAACAGGTGCTTGTGATGCAACAACAGGAGATTGTAATGCAACAGCAGATGACTGTTATGCAGCAATAGTGATTGTGATGATGTAGCAACAGGTGACTGTGATTTCTTCCTGAAACAGATAAAAAATTGCATTTCAAATATTTGATGTTTTATAAAACAAATGAGATGTTTACAAATAAAAATGCAACAAAGTTTATTGATTTCATGTCAGTGTAACTTTAACAATTTTGGGACTTTGGCTGTTGGTCACATATTTTTGGGTTGAGGAATGTGTGATGGACTAATCGCACAACCACAACAACAATATGTTAACTCAACTATTAATAGATTGTTCAATGATAATCTGTTTTGGCAGCCCTAAATCATCATGAACACCCATAATTGTGACCATAAAAACACACAATTGTGATCCAACAAAAAGAACCACTCATCACACTGCTAGAGACAAAAATCTTTACAGTAAGATGTCATGTTTCCAGTGGAGCTTAGTTACACCAGCACCATCTGACCAATAAAATCAATATTGCTTTTACCTTTGAATTAAATTATAGTGCATCAGGTTTTGTGACACTGTTATACATCTCAGATTTTATTTGTGATCAGATTTTAGTGTGTTTCATCCAGAAACAAATGCTGGAGTTGCTCAATAGACACATGACCCTGTTCATTTAGTGTATATTTTGAGCAAGCCAGATCTCATTTAAATAAACACATTTTAAAAGTACTATCTGAAACTTAAATTTTATTATTCTGTGTCAATGGACCAACTCCAGGAAGGTGTCTGATGCTGTGACTTTTGAGGAGCCACACATTTATATTTGCAGAGCTGCCTTTGCTGTACAAAGTCATCAAGATATGGCACTCATTGAAAACTTTTCTAATTTCACATATTCTGTACATGGCAATTACAAAGGGACTTTGACTGCTAAGTCAGTTTAAAAGTAACCGAAAAACTTTGTTCCCTATTAGTATTTATAGTATAAATACTTGGAAAGCGGTGTTTTGCAATTAATGCATCAAACATGCTGCCTGATTAGCACAAGAAGCAAATTATGCTTGGCATACTATAATATGCTCACAGTGTTGGATAAAACACATCCCGCCTGATGCTTTGTCTGTGGAAGACAGATGGTTCAAGAGGGTGATTACATGTTTAAAATGTCAAAGACATTTAACACAGACTGCACCCTCTGTCAAATTTCAAAAGGAGCATAGAGTAATTGGAATATTCTATTTGTGAGACAATGTTTTAATTGGTACGCCCATTCTGTGCAGAATGTGTACAGCCCAGTGTCTGAGGCAGGCATCCGCCAGATTGGTTCAGACACAGACAGGGCTCCATAATTACACTCCTCTATTCAGTGCACTGCCTGTGCGTCAGTGCAAACGTCATATTAGAGCTGCACATGGGGGACAGGACATTCGAGAGCAGAGGAGAGGAGAGGAGAGGACTCCTCACAGCTGTGGTGTGTTGGGGCTGTTGCTGCTCACAGGCAGATGTGCTGTCATTCTCTGACTCTCACATACCTGGTGAAAGGTTGAGGAGAAGTAACTCTGTTCCTCAGTGGCTGTAAAGACAGATCAACTTCTGTGTCAGAAATGTATCCAGCAGTAGGAGCTAGGATCTATAGCAGCAGAGTGACTGGCATACAGCTGTATATAGCTTCCACTCTAAGATGACAGCTTATTGATTCAGGTCTGGTTTTGGCTGGGAGCCCCATATGATGAATGAAATATGGCCTAATGATTTAATAAAGTGATGCTTGGTATAGTACAAGCCAGCTAAAGACTTGATGATTGGTGATTGCTCCCTCTTTCTCTCTCTCTTTCATGTGCTGCTTTAGACATTACATCCACATCTTGTCCTATTTACAATGGAAGCACCCAGCAGCTCAGCTGACATTAAGAAAAAGGCTATTTTTTATTTGCATTATTTTTCTCATATTATGTCTATATATTTTTTTCCTATTTCCAAATTCAAGACTAGAAATGTGACACTTAAGTGACTCCCTATCTACTTTCAGACAGCTTTGTTTTTCATTGATTAACTGTATACAGGTCTACTTATGAAACGCCTGGTATAACACCCAGATGATGATGATGATTATAATGACAATGACGGTGATGATGGGAATGATTATGACAATTAGAGCCTGCAAATTGATAGCCCCTTATATCTCATTTACGCACATAATCTGAAGCCAGCTACCAGATAAATTAAATAACCTCTTCAACGGAGCCTGTCCCACCTCTCTCTCTCTCTCTCTCTCTCTCCCTCTCTCTCTCTTTCCCTCTCAGACAAGGACGCTGACACCTCGTTCACAACTCAAGACAAGGCCGGTAAAGCTTGTCACAGACCATGTGCTGTGAGAGGAGCTCCTGACACCCAAAAATGCAAAAGGAAAATACAAATTCATCCATTCATCCATCAAAAGCACATGTGCCCTAGAGCAAGAAACGCCTCTGCTCTGCACCTGACTCTTCCCCCAGACCTCTCTGCAAACAGAGCAAGGAGCGTTTCCCTGAGGGGGATCAATGAGGTATCACGTTATACATGATCTGCCCTGATGCTGGTACCCATCCTCTTCCTCCTTTCCCCATCTCATCATCTTCACCCCTGCACACTGCATGGCTCTCCCATCCTGACTGTCATTTATTCTCTGTCCTATATCCACCCACCCCCGACCACCACCACCAGAGAATCACACACACACACACACACACACATACACACACACACACACAGAACATTGTGACGAGAGGCATCAGCCAGTGCGTGTCTGCTGAGAGGGAGAGAGAGAGAGAGAGAGAGAGGGAGAGAGAGAGAGAGAGAGAGAGAGGGAGAGAGAGAGAGAGAGAGAGAGAGATCCTCCCTGGCACACACCCGTCAGTGTGGCAGTGTGATTTTGACTGACTGGCTGACTGACTGGGGTTTCTGAAGGAAACACACAGGAACGGGGGGGACACGCTCTCCTGTTTTCTTTTTTCACACCTTTCTCGCAGTCTTGTCTGTCACCGTTGTCACGGCCGATGGTTCTCTAGCTGTGCCTCCTGTATCCACCTCAGCATCGGATTTTGCTTTTATTTCTCCTCTCCTTGATTGGCTGAACCGGGGCTGATCCCAGCCAACCTGGGCCGGGCCGTGGTGCTGTTCAGCGAGCCTTATAGCTGAAGTTGGCACCGGAGATGAGCGCCTTGAGACACGGGAGCGGGGCTCTCTATTCGCCGGGGAGAGGGTCTGGGTCGTGGCGGTGCCTGTGGTGGTGGTGGGTTGTTGCGCTCGGGGTGACAGCGGGCTCGGGAGATCCTTGGATGTCCGCGGAGGCATGCCCGTCGTCTTGTTCCTGCAGCAGCACCAGGATCTCCTGCGTTGATCCGGAGCGGGGTATTAATTCCTTTCCCGTCCTGCAGAGCGAGGCGGAGATGGAGAACATCACCGATATGTGAGTGTCTCTAAGCATCAGATTTACAAAGGGGAGATGTCGGATTCATATGGCCCTTAAATATTCACATGTAGCCTGCTCTGCTTTTGTGAAGGTGGCTGCATTTTCAACACTTTACAAATAAAGGAATGTCATCCCTCACACCCCTCCTCTGCCAATTGTGTCTGGAGCTGGCAGACACTATCCGCAAAGAAAAGAGCCAGAACCGGTTCTCTTTTGTCAATGAATCTTTATCTAACGAAAGAATTTAGTCTGAATCAACTAATGTACCGGTTCACATATAAATCTAAGTCACACTCATTTATTCGGCGCGGGTTCGGCTCAGACACACATCATGTGTAACCTACATTGCATAACAGACTATTTACCATCATGTGGCACATCAGTCTTTCAACGCCAGCGTGGAAACTGCCCATTTATAAATAAGAGCAGTTTAATAGACTTTTATTCTGACAGAGAAAACCAAGTCTGTGTGCGAGCGCGTGCCCGTGTGTGTGCGTGTGCTAAAGTGTGTATGTGGACGGAGACACGCACTCACCAAACACCACTGTCTAAATATTAGCACAGACACTTCCCAAGATGGCTTATATTAGTGTATTTAAATGAACCGAAGAAAAAAAAAATCGATGTTTAAGACAAAAAAAGCGACATCTTTGCAGAAAGTGTCAACATTTTAGGTGAAGGCTACCAACCAAGATGACAGCAAATCTCAGTGTGCATTGTAGATATACTGTACAGCCCCCCAACCACCTTCCAGCTTTTCACTATCATTTCATAAAACGGCATTTGGCCTAGAAATAGGCTAAGTGGAATGCGATATCATTCTTGGCAAAGATACACGGCCTTGTTGATGATGACTTTTGTTGGGGATAAACAATCTTTATCGGCGGCCTTGGAGAAACCTTGGAAGCTGTTTAAATGAGCCAGCAGACTGGTGAAAAGCATTCACCGAGTGCTTGGCTAATGTAAACAGACAAATTACTGATGACCGTGCGACTTCTACTTCCAAACGACCTTGCCAAAAAACCTGGGAGATCGGTTCGTGTTCCACGTCTGTGTTAATTGGTTAGACATCCTGATTTTATGACATCTGCACTGACAACCACACAATTTGACAGAATATAATGGGCATTCAGTGTCACTGTGAATACCTGAATGGGTGTAAAAGCCCAAGCTCTTACACTTTGTGCGATGTCTCACATGTATGGCTATGTTTAGTATAAAAGCTGAGGCAAACAAATCGCTTTTAGCCCCCATCTGCTAAGAAAATATCCTCCAGTTGAATTGGAGAGGTGGGTGTCTGGATGACACATACAAAATCTAAAATGACAATATTTCTTTGACTGATAACTTATGATATTTTGTGGGTGTTGGCTCTCTTCTGATATGAACACAGAAACAACACAGAAAGTTGTTTAACAGGCAATGCAGCCTTTGAAGATTGAGAAGACAACATTTAACCTATATAAAAATATGATAAATATCTACTTTTGTGTCATAATATTGATTTATTGCCCACAGGCATTAAGATAATGGACAAATGTGGTTGTAGTAAGCTTGACTCCCCCCCTGTGCCCTCAGACAAACATGCAGTGACGGGTTTATCACACCTAATGACAAACCAGAGATGGATCTATGTGCATGCTCTTTGTGCTTATTATTCAGCAATCTTACTGAAACTGGAAACACTGCCTCGTTTGTCTTTGTCGCTCATGTACAGTGTAATTGTCGATTTCTTGTATATTACAGAGATTATAAGATTGTTACCTTAAAAACATTTTGTCAGAATTGAATTTTAGTTGTATGTCATCTTTGATGAAAGTAATTTTAGGAAACAAGATGCTGCTTTCCATTTATCCGTGTTTCTTTATGTGTAAAGCAGTGAAAAATGCTGACATTCTGGGTCAGCTTCTTTAATTATTGTTAGCCACACATCAATTTTATTACGAATTTTTTAAAAAAGCTTTTTTTTTCAGGCTTTTTGGCTTTATTTGATAGTGAGAGCACAGAGCTGACAGGAAATGAAGGGAGAAAGAGGAGAGGTGATATGTAACAAAGGTCCCCGACCGGACCTGAACTGGGGATGTTGCGATTAGACAACCCTTATGAAATAGCTCTAATGGTTAGGTGTTACCCTTTCATCCCTCACTCGTCAATCTTTTGACTTTGATGAACTAAACGTGATAATTTTGGTATAAATTCAGCGAGTCTAAAGCCTTGTAATGATTTTTGAAATCAACAAATCTAATGAGAATATTTTTTGTTTCAGTTTCCGAGTCGGAGACTGTATGTGACCACATGAAAGACAGTATTTAATGACCTTGTGATTTAGACAACCAATACGTGCAACAGTAAGACACAGGGATTCTGCAGGACAAAGAGCTCTGCCGCGACTGTTACAACGCGTTCCTTCTATAGGACAGATTGTTCTCAGTTCGCTCCGGAGGTTTTGTTTAGCCCTTGATGTTCTTAGACATCTGATCCCAAAGCTGCGATATTTGAAAAGTACATGTACTGTTTTTCTGAACCTGTTCACACAGTTAGACTCAATCACAAGAGGGAGTTGCCAACAGTCATCTCCTGTTGGCCTTTAAACACCGTCAGGTCAAGTGCATAGCTCAAGCGCAGCTGAGGAGAAGAGGCGAAGGATGTGCCTGTTTCTCTACTTTAAGAAAAAAACTACCAGCTCCTCCTGAGTACCATATATCAGCTGCAGTCCTGCAGGAGTTCATTTTTTAATTTTGAACGCTAATTATATGGGCTTATTATGTTCCTTTGTCTTATTGAAATGTTTCTGTTTATTCTTCCCTCCGTTAACAAATGAGCCTTCTGACACACACTTGTATCTCCTGACAGCTACATCGCCAACCAGAGCAGCTTCTCCTCCATCAACGACAAAGACCTGCACTCCTACAAGAATCTCAGGAACCTGTGAGTCTTTTATGGCTTATATTACCAACAAAAACACTATGAGTTATTGTCAATGGACAAATTTGCTAAATTTGCTTATATTTTTAAATTCTATGGCAGTTCTGTTATCCACACCGCCTACTAAAATGTTAAATGTTCCTTTATAAGTACATATAGGGTCTAAATATAGGCAGCACTTCAAATCAGGTAGAAAAACAATTTCACTGCATTTTAATAACATTTCAACAGTATTTCTATACTTACTCAGCTTGTTATTGTCCACTATCTGAGACATATTGATTTACTGTGCTTGTACCAATAATTCCTCATCTTCCCTTAAGGCAATATATTGTTTATGTCTGTTACTTGAAAATCCTGCAGTGTTTATCACTGTGTCCCAGGGTGTTTGTAGTTACTGTGTTTTGCTATGCTTCTCTTTCTCATTTTATTTCTTAATCTTAAAACAACTGTCTACCAAGCAGCACTTAATTGCAATGAAATAATCTATTCATTTCACAGCCAATATCTTTATTAATACAAAGCATGTTATGCACTGCGGGTCTATATGCTTTAATTGTGGTTTTTCTCCCGTGTGTCTGAGGAATACTTTACACACAATTACACTCTGTGCAGTGTTAATATTTCGTAATATACGGTACCACTATTTCACAGTATGAATATTTTTAAAGTTATCATTTGTTAAGTGTCATTGTAATATAAAAACCCTTGCTCAGTCCAAGTCATTTCAGACGAGATCAATCAGTCACAGAACATAATTTAAACCAACTTCGTATCAGATAATGATATTATCTTACATCCTCACCTCAGCTGATGAAGGGCACAAACTCTCTGAGCACCTGGTTTTAACAGTGCTGAGTAATCTAAAGTTTGCAGTGACGTTAAATGCACCTGACTCTTTTTAGTTTTTGTATATGACAACGCTTTCTACTGAGACATCTGTCACACTATATCCAGAGGATTAGAGCGTAAATGGTTAACTGATTGACAGAAAAATAATAGACAACAATTGTCATAATTGAAGAACAACCATCTGCCTGTGCCTCTGTCAGTGTATTTAACTATACACCACAGGCCTATACTGCATGCCCTGTAGAACGACACTTTTCTGATCTGCTGTCTCCATCAGCAGGATATCATATCTGTCTGTGACTTCCAAAACTGTCACAAAATACAGTTGGAAAACAAATCCATTTTACAACGTGACAATGCTAAGGTTAGGTTAGCCTTAGATGCAACAACATATTAGTTTGGGGACAGTCATGATCATTCTTTAAAAAAAAAAAAAAAGTCCTTCTGCTGGTATATATCCTACTGTTGTTGTTCATGAAGATATTAATGTGGCTGTTATATTTTTCTTTTCTTTTTTTTGTCAGAACGGTGACCAACAGCAGGCTTACATATGTATCGAAGCTGGCCTTTCAAAACAACATCAAATTACAGTACCTGTAAGTAAAAACACATCTCATGCCATCATAATATACAGTATATTTGCTTTCTGTTGATGTGACAGCAGTACAACCATTATTTATCACTTTCAGTGAGTAATTTGTTTGACTCTGTTAAAATTTACTTATCCTTTGACATTTTACTTATGTTTTAAATTGGGTTAATGAATGCAAAATTACACCACCAAGAGTAATACAGTATGTAATACTATAGAGAGTAACTTAACCAGAAATAAATGGCTGAGAGATTGATGGAAAATAAAGCCAGGTTCAGGTTCATAGTGAACGGCATTTATAATTGATTGTCAAATCTTGGGACCTTGTAAAAATAATTAAAGTTTGATGCTTATTATACCGATCAAATGCACCACTTAAGGCTAATTGTCACAATCCTTAGAGGGGAGAACTTTTAATGGGAAAATAACACAGGCGTTTGGGTGCACGTTGAAATGCACCATTAGTTGCTGTAACATCGACCTAATATTTTGTTGTGATATTACAAATGCAATCTGATTCCCTGATGTTCGATTTAATTTCCAGGAATCTGAAAGATAACAACCTGTCATCACTGTCCTGGAGGATATTCAAACACCTCAACATCTCTTATCTGTGAGTTCAGTGCAGTCATTATCAGTCTGTCCATCTCTGTGTCTGTCTGTCTGTCTGTCAGTTCCTGGCTCTCTCTCTGGTTTACCCTCCAGTTATCATCATACTCTGTATATAAACATAGACCTATAGCAACTGTGATGTCACCTGTAGGTTCCTGATGTGATGATTTCAAGCTTGGAGTTGGGTTTACTGCCACCAGCAATCTTGGGTTTTCCTGCAGCCAGAAAAATGATTATATTTTAAATTTATATTGAGGAAACAGGATGGAGAGATTATCTGAAGTGATAATTAAGCACCGGGGCTCAATGTTACTTGCTATGACACTTATAAATAATGGAAAACATGCCCCCTAAGCACACCCTAAAGAGAGAATAATAATAATAAAGAGAGAATAATAATAATAATAATAATAATAAAAAAGAGAGAATTTGTACATTTTTCCACTGGTTTTGTGCAGCACAAAAATATATATTTTTTTCATGCTAGGTAGCCAATGAAAAACCTGGCTCTTAAAGGAATACACTTACTTGTTTTCTTATCAAGAGTTAGATGAGAGGATCAGTGCCACTCTTATAAGCAAGTCTTATAAATCTCTCTCTATTTGAAAACTAAAGTGGAAAAAAATGCCAAGTTGTTGTTTTAAGGTGTTTAATGTGCTGGACAGGCACATGAAACCTCTCATTATTTCTACACCTTGGTTTTTGTTTGGATTAAATTAAGGAGATATAACATCTTAATTAGTGAGCTTCAGAAGTGCTAGTAGGCAGACCTTGTTATAATTTGACAGAGACAAGCTAGCAGTTATACCCCCACCCCCGAGTCTTAATGCTAAGCTACAACTGCTGGCTGTCGATTTATATTTAACGGATAGACATGAGAGTGGTATCAATCCTCTCATCCAGCTCTGGGCAAGAAAGCAAATAAGCTTTTACAAAATCTCAAACAATTTCTTTCATTCACTTAGATATATCATTGCAATTCAGCTGCTTACTCGAATCGTTGTGTGTGTGTGTGTCTGTGTGTGTGTGTGTGTGTGTGTCTGTGTGTGTGTGTGTGTGTGTGTGTGTCTAGGATCCTGTCAGGGAACCCTCTTCACTGCTCCTGTGAGAACATGTGGATCAAGCTGTGGTTAGGGGAGGAAGCAGACACTCAGGAGCTGCGCTGCATTGAGGATGGAGGAGGACGTAAACTGTCCAGACTGACACTTCCTAAGTGTGGTGAGAACACACACACACACACTGAGTAAGGAGCTGGAGAAGACATTTATAAGTTGCAGCATAGTGCAAAGCACTAAAGCACCTGGAGGGAAAATCCTAATGGTTCCCTCTACAGAAAATTTTCCATTCACATGTGTTTGTATGCACATGCATAGTTGTGTGTGTGTTTGCATAAATGTGTGATTAAGTACAGGACTTATACTGTACAAAATTTGTTACTGCAAGACAAGTGTACTAAGTGTTTTGTCGGTTCTCAGAGGAGGTGTGGGCGACTGGAGAAAGTGGACTGAAGTGAAGTTTGTTGTCAAAACCTATGAGAATAAATGCAAAAAGAATACAGTTCATGCACTGAGAACAGCCACTGTGTTAATCGTAATGTATACCCACTGGTATGTGAATTTTGGCTGGCCACAGCGAGGACAATGCGCATACTGCTTTTCACTTCTGCAGGGCTCTGCTTAGCTTGTATATTGTAATTTCCCTAGACACAGTGTAGTACAAAAAAAAAAGACTATATCTTACACATGAACAAGCAAACAAATGACATAAACGCATGCATGCACACCCAGAGCACTGCTTTAATAGAGGGCTTAAAAATTTAGTTTGGTTTCTGCTGGGTGTCACTGAAAGGCCACAGACACTAAACAGGCTGACTGTATCTCAGTGCTGTGGGGATTTTACTCATATGATACATAGATTAGCTGCTAGATGAGAGAAGAGGGAGAGAAATGTGTCATATACTAAGTGTGTTTGGCGCGTGCATGTGTGTGTGTGTGCGCTACGTGACAGGTTATGTCATCTTATAGACTGGTTACAGTCATCTGAGACATTTGCTTGTACATGTAGAAAGGTAGTGACAGGACATTATAGAAGCAGAGATATTTTACTGGGAAGGAACATTTGTGAGATTGAACACACAGATGACATCAGTGAGTCTCAAAGACGCTGAGTAGTGAAAATTTGCCGCATGTATCACAGTAAAATGAAGTAAAGACCATCTGCACTCTGTCCTATAGCACCGATGACCTGCTGTCACACAGCAGATTTCATTTCCTTTTTCTCTGAATCATCGTTTATCAGTCGACTAGGAAAGAATTGTCTCTGGATTTACAGAAAGCTGCTCCTATATGCTCAACTGCAACAGCAATGATTACATTATTGTGAGCAATGGAAGGCATTTTTCACATATTTGATTGTGATAAATTAAGGAAAAAAAAATTTTTCATTAAAAGGAATATAATATTTTAAAACCTGGAGAACCTCTGAACCTGCCACAGTGCATAAGTGTAATGTAAAAATAACCAGCACACTTGCTGTCATTCCAGTGCAGATTTCCACAGAGCACAAACCTTTAATGAACTTGATTGTGGGAGCCTTTAACAAGCTTGACTGTAGAAATGTCAGCACTTAACTGACACTTTAGTCTTTCCTTCTTTACTGTAAACCGATGGATACTAAAAAAAGATAAACCTGAATAAATGAGTGGAGAAACATAATGAATGCAGATCCACTCATGCTCTGTGGCATGTATAAGAATACTGAGCACCAGTTGATTATGATTTTCTATCAAGATGCCAAGAGGAAAAGATCTAAGTGACTTTGAAAGAGGGTTCATTGTTGGGGCACAGATGGCAGAAGCTTCAGTCACAAAGACTGCTCAACTGGCTGGTGTTTCAATAGGAACAGTGACATCTGCATTTAGATCTGTGGGAAAGACATCAGTAAATAGGGTTGGAAATTTGATGAGCTTGATGCTCGAGCATTAGTAAAATATGTAAGGAAAAACAGAAGATCAACTCTTCCTCAGGTGACTGAGAATGTCAATGCAGGACATGATCAGACTTTGTCAGCAAGAACAGTCTGTCAACAGTTACACCGAGAGGGATATTATGGTCGGGTTGCAGTGCATAAATCCCTCATTACAAAGATGAATGCACATTTGAAAGTTCACTGGTGCAAAAACCATGAAACCAATGATCCGATATCTCAACATAATCAAAGATTAGAGAAAAAGTCAAACTGAAACAGATTTGTGTCAGAGAACTGTTTTTTCTTCTTCCCTCTCCCATTAACCATCTCACCACCCCAAAGATTTATGTGGTGTCGGTGTGTATAAAATTGTAAAAAGCTAACTAAAGCTACAACAGTAACATGCTGCTTGTATACTAATGCTTCAGTATTAATCATCTGATGACATCATATATAATAATATATCTGTCAGAGGGACCAAACCAGCACTTTTGTTGTAATACTTTATCTACATTTTGCTGCTAATACTTATGTACTTTTATTTGAGTAGGATTTTTCATGCAGGGCTTTTACTTGTAATGGAGTATTTTTATTTTGCTGTATTGGTACTTTTACTTAAGTAAAAGATACCTCTTCCACCATTGTCTGATGATGACAGTGGCCCAACACCTTACTAAGACACCTTATGTTGGTTTTTCCTTTAATTCGCCACCCGTCTGTATCTCCTGCATAAATTTTTAATGAATATCTCTATTTAGGACTCTCTTGTATTCATAAACGGGGTCCGATTACAGTGTGAACTGTCTCTGAAAGTCTGACCTGCTCATATTCTCTGAAGAAAAATCTGTCCAACCTAAGCCTAGATTTGTAGGTTTTATATGCACAAATCTGGCTGAATTGGACATTCAGCAGCCTAATAATCTTGAGCTTGGCCAAAGTAAACAAATGAAACTTAAATTGTTCGAACCTTTGGGGGATAAGTCCAGTCAGATCTGGTTTGTTACTATAAAGTGGAAGTGAACGTAAACAACCCACTTCTTGTCCGATTTCAATTTATAAAATACTTGATAACAGTCCGAAAAGCTTTATAGGCCTAAATTGAAATGTAATCATTTTTTTCTTCTAATAAGCCACAACATGAAGCTGAAAGTATTTTTGCCATCTCTCTTGTTGACAGTGCAAATGATCTGGTCAAAAATAGCTCAGGGCAGTCGGGACGCAAGGGATACAAACAATAAGTTAGCTTTCAGGAAGCTTACAATGACATTGATAACTCCTATTGATCCGTCCCCTCTGCCTCCCCTCCATTAGAAGAGGCTATTTTTGGCATTAGGACAGTTACAGCAGGGCCCCTGGAGAGGTGGGCAGGGGACCCCCTGGCAGAGTGACATATGAGGAGGAGGACATGGTGGGGCAGGGGTGCCAAATAATGCCCCAGGGCTAACAATGATACACCAAAAGACCTCTGAGTCTGGCCAAACTGCTGGCCTTTTGGTCTCTCTGTCATTTTTTCTTACTATCTTTTGCCTCTCCCTCTTTCTTACTAATTTTCCATCTGTCTGTCTGCTTCATGTATGACTGTCTCTCCTACTGTATGACTGAACATATCTGAGTGACATATGAGGAAGGCACAAAGGAGAGGAAGTACCCAATGATGCCCTCGGGCTGACAATGATCTCTCAGGCCACCCGCATATGTCTCTCTCTCTCTCTCTCTCGCTCTCTCTATCTCTCAGTGGACTGTTTACTGCTGGAGCTCCACTCGAAAAGGCTGGCAAATACAGACCGTTCCCTTTGCTGACCTGTACAAAACTTTACTAAAAAGTGCTGCTCTGATGTTACTGCAGTCCCAGGCCTGTGCAATATGAAAATAAGTGAACTCTGTCACTCAGCAAAAAATGTTGGGGTTCAAACAGCTGAAGGTGTTAAAACACTCCCAGTCAGTTGATTGTTAACAGGGGGGAAAAAAACTCATAAAAAACCTATAAACTGTCCCCCCTTGGTTTAATTAATTTTAAAAACTCTTCCTTAAATTGTATAATTACATTAGCTTGTGAAAAAATTTAAGCATTTTCTATGATCACACTTATTACACCTTAAGTTTCTTTGGGTGAAAGTATCTGCTATATGCTCCAAAAGGCATAAATGTTAATAATTGAAACCAGCTGAGCAAAGGTGCTTTTTTTCATGTGCTGTGGAAATGACAGCAGATGAATCACCAGATCTCTGCTGGTCACATCACAGCACTGGTGCACTCTGTCTTCATCTGTCTCCCTCTCCGTTTGTCCGTCTCTCTGTCAGCTCATTTGTTTGGCTTGAATGACTGTCTATCAGGCTCCTTTCCCCTTTATAATCCCCTGTTCTGTCTTTTGATTGTTATAAAAGCTGTAATACTAAACTTAGAATCAACACAGAAGAAAGGTCAAGCACACCAGTGCAGAGTAGATTGACAGAGATAGAGTAGGTCGATGTTCATGTCTTGCAACTCTGATGTTTTATGAGACTGTTTAAGTATGTTAAAAGTAATGGACATGACGTTTAGTGCCATCCCACCTACATTTGGGTCTCCTGCTTTCCTTTTAAGGCCATGCTGCTGTCATTTACAAGTGAGGTTTTGCTAACAGAAGGCTTCAGGAGTGGACGACAGCTTAAAAAACAGAAGAGCATAGCTGGTCGAAACGATTCAGTAAACCATCTTTATGGGAAAGGGAAGAAACTAACTGCTAAGATTTTGAAATGGGGTGAAAGATTGTTGTTTAAATATAGATTACCGTGTAGTTTTGATTTATACTTCATCAGTGGTCGATCATATGACAAAAATCATGCATAGCTGAACCAGCTAAGTATCATGTCCAAAACCAATGAAAGAAGAAGTTTGTAGTTCATGTAGAGGTGGGAAGTAATAGTGTAGAGGTTCAGGTCTTTCTAACCTTACCTTAACCTAGCTGCCGTAACTACAATATTTCCCTAACCATAATACTTATTATTATTATTATTATTATTATTATTATTATTATTATCATTATCTTAAAACTTTACATTGGACTAAAAACAAAAAACAAACAAACAAGGAACACACAATAACAGCAGTGAGTAAAGCAAACAAACAAAACTGGGCATAATCCTTGGTTTAGCAAAATCAGCCAATATCAACTTTCATGTCTGGTTAAACTGATCATCAGACACCAAAGCAGCTAATTAAATAGAGGAAATCCACCTCAAACCAATGGGAATGGGATAAATATGTTACAA